AAACCTAAAAATTAGGGTTTGTCCTCGGACAATGTACGCCTCGCGTACTAGAAGTACACCCAACGTACTTGCCCCACCTCAAAAGTTCCACTTTTCACTCATTGGGACCAAATTTAAAAACTAATTAATATCAAAGGTCAAAATATGAAATACCTGGAATCCGGGTGTTACAATTCTTCCCTACTTGAATTAGACTTCGTCCTCAAAGTCTACCGCTGCAAATAACTCTAAATAATGCTCCATTATCTTGTCCTCAGGATCTCATGTCCACTGTAAACTCTTTCGACGCTATCATTGCACCTTCATGAGATCCACAACCTTGTTTCATATAGTATCCATCCTCCTGTCAAGGATCACCACTAGCCTTTATATATAATTCATGCGATCATCCACCTGAATGTCCTTCAATAAAACCACTAAGGAAACATCAATCAAACATTTCCGTAGTTGAGAGACATGAAAAGTACTATGGATCTGACTGAGCTCCTCCGGAAGATCCAGTCGATACACAACCCCACCCACCCGAGCTATCACCCTAAAAGGACCAATATACTTGGGGCCTAGCTTACCCCGCTTCCTTAATCGGATGACACCTTTCCAAGGTGACCCCTTCATGAGTACCATGTCTCAAACATGATACTCCAAGTCTGACCGGTGTCTATCTGTGTAACTCTTTTGTCGGCTCTACATTGTCTGAAGTCTGTCGCGAACCTGTTGAATCAATTTCGTCGTTTTAAGTACCACATCCATACTCCCTATGACCCGTAGGCCAACATCACCCTAACATATCAGTGTCCTACACTTTCTCCCATAGAGCATCTCAAAAGGAGGTCGATCAATGTTGGCGTGATAACTGCTGTAATACAAAAATTCCTCCAAAGGACGATATGTATCCAAACTCCCGCCAAAATCCAGTGCACATGCTCGCAACATGTCCTACAATGTCTGGACAGTCCGCTCACTCTGACCATCAATCTGTGGGTGGAAAGTCGTGTTGAAGTGCAGACGAGTACCCAAATCCTCATGGAATCTCTTTCATAACTTGGAAGTGACTTGAACATCCCTATTAGATACCACAGAAACCGACACCCCATATTAGGGATGTTATTCATGTCAGAACCGGACTGAACCGACATGAACCCGAATAACCCAAAAATCGAATAAGGGTAATTGCATGAACTGAAAACCAAACCGATTAACCAATACGGGTATAATTCGGTTCAGAATTAATCGGTTCAGTTCGATTATTACCCAAATAACTCGAATACCATGTACAAGATGATTAAGGACCTAATATAACCAGGAAAAAAACCCGAATAAACCGTATTAGGATTCTATAACCCGATTAATAGAATGACAATGTGTTTTTATACATCAACATAAAATATTCAAAGACTAACATAACACAATGAAAGAATAATGTTTACATAGCAAATTAACATAATGATCATTAATTTCTTACTTGAGTTTCTTGAGTTGGAGCCCAATTTTCCATAACTAGACAAAGTAGGAATTCGTTAACCTTAGAGACAATAGGAAGGGTTGATTTTTGAAAGTTTGAAACAAAAGAAAGGATCGACAAAAGTGATTTCAAGTTTGGAAATAGAAAAAAAGATTGGTCCATTTTAAAACGACGAGAACGAGCGTATGAGTTTTTTCTGTTATGAACGAAGAGGACAGAAAAGTGAATCGTGATTTTGATTTCTTTTGATCTGAGAAAGGGGAGGAGTGCTTATTTGGTTCGGGTATTTAGAACTGAATAAGATCTTATTTGGGTAACCCAAGAACCGAATAAACATAATATAGATACCCGAAACCCGAAGTGAATTGCTTATTCAGGCCTAATTCGGTTCGGTTTCGGTTCGATTAAGCTTTTCGGGCTAAATTCTCATCCCTACCCCATATCGTGCCACCACTTTCGGAATGTAGATATCGGCCAGCTTCTCCGCCGAAATACTCTCCTGGATCGAATCCATTATGCACGTCGTCCGAGGAAATTTGGTGATGAAATCCATCGTAAGCTATTCCCATTTCCAAACGGGGACTTCCAACGACTCCATTTTGCAGTGAGGTCGTTGATGCTTAGACTTCACTTACCTACAAGTCAAGCACCTCTCCACATACTAGTCCACGTCTCGCTTCATACATGGCCACCAATAGTCGGGTCGAAGATTTCTATACATATTTGTCGCTTCCATCAGAACATGACGCCCACCACCCCAATAGGGAACCCACATCCTCTGATGAAGGGTCAATAATCCCGAGATATCATAATCAAATGAATCCACCTGACCCACTATGCACTCACTCTTCTGGTGCTCTTCCTTCATAGTCTCCACCTGAGCCTCTTGAATATGCTCTATGAGTGGGGTAATCATTATCATCCTCAAACAAAAATATTTGATTGGGGTAGCAACCGCCTTACGGATGAGAGCATCAACCACTACGTTGGCCTTCCCAGGGTGATAAAGGATCTCACAATCATAATCTTTTACCACATCCAACCATCTACGTTGCCTCATGTTCAGATTCGACAGATCCATCAGATACCTAAGATTCTTGTGATTCGCGTAAATAGTACAACAGGCCCCATAAAGGTAATGTCACCAAATCTTGAGGGCGAAAACCACCGCTCCCAATTCTAAATCATGCGTAGGATAATTCGCTTCATGAAGCTTCAGCTGCCTTGAAGCGTAAGCGACCACATAACCTCGCTACATCAGTACCACACCCGAACCTGTTACTGATGAACAATATACCACAAAATCCTTAACACCTCCGACAGGGTCAGAATCGATGCCTCACACAATCTCTGTCTCAAAGTCTCAAAAGTTGGCTGCTGCTTGGGCCCCAAACGAAAAGTGACAGTCTTCTTCATTAACCGGGTCAACGGATCCGCTATCTTAGAGAAATCATAAATGAATCTCTGATAGTACCCAGCTAATCCCATGAAACTTCAAATCTCAGATTGAGACCTTGGAACTTCCCACCTCATCACCGCCTCAACCTTGGCCGGATCGACCAAGATATTGTTCTGGTTGACAAGGTGTTCCAGAAACTGCACCTCGCGCAACCAAACTCACACTTGGAGAACCTCACATACAACCTCTCCTTCCTCAGAGTCTCCAATACCTCTCTCATGTGCTCCTCATGCTGCTCATGGGTCTTAGAATATACCAGGATGTCATCGATAAACACAATAACAGACCGATCCAACACACGCTTGTATACTCGATTCATTAGAACCATGAATGTGGATAGAGCATTGGTGAACCTGAAAGGCATCACCACGAACTAGTAATGGCCATAACGAGTCTGGAATGTTGTCTTCTGCATATCCTACTATCTGACCCTCATCTGATGATAACTTGAACGCATATCAATATTGGAGAACCAAGATACACCCGAAAGGCTGAAGTTGGTCAAATAAATCGCCAATCCTCGGGAGCGGATAATAGTTCTTCACAGTTAGCTTATTCTACATTGGTGTATCTTCTAATTCCAAAACAAGAAAAGTGTGTGTAAATGGACAAATTACACAAAATAGTAATGTATTTACATGTCTTTACCAAAAGTTGGAACACACGAAACAACCACAAAAACAATACATCCCACACCGCACAACGCACGTAAAAACCTTCTAGTTGATATTATATAGAGAAAGAAGATAAAATGATCATATTTTTTAAAACATAAGAGGTTTAGGTCACATATTATAATAATTATAAATCTTTCTGATTTAAACAAGTAGTCAAATATAATTAAAACTAAGGAGAAGCATCGGGGCTGAATACCTGCTTTTGAAAACGAAGTAGGTCAATAACCGACAATTCCAATTGTAATCGAAGCGACCATAACCAATTATATTGATATTTAAATGGATGTTTTATTTATCTTGTAATAGATATATCTTTTAAATTTTTATAAACCGCTAGAATCGATTCCAATTCCAACATTCATGGATTTTCGATTCCAATTCCGTTTTTTATTCCACGACAAATCAACCGGGTACCTACCTATGCTCACCATTTTTGAACTTTACGAAATTTGAGTATAATATTAAACTCTCACCATTTTAAATGTTACAAAATTTGCATGCATAATATTAAACTTAACAAAAATTATTCCGATCCACTTTACACATCCATGAAAGTATCAAAAGTCATGAATATAAAAGAGTAAACCTCAAAAGCATAACAAATATACATAGTTTAAATAGAAGTGTACTCAAATTTATGTTGAAATGTATCGATTCAAGTTATTTTTAAAATTTTAATGAGTCAAACTTGTCAAAATAATCATATAGAGTTGAAATCCAAACCATTTACACGTCAAACCGATCAAATAACACGAGCCCTTTCATCGAGGCTTACCCAAAACAAGTAATTTTAGTAACATATGTGTGATTGGATATTTAAAAAAGGAGAAGGAAAGGGACACCAGAAAGACCTGGAAAGTGCAAACTGAGAAATTTTGTGAATTAATGGAAGATTCTTCCTCCATTTTCAAAGTCAAATTCGAACGCTATGAGTCATTGGGTCATGTGTCTTCTTCCATTGATGATCCCACAAGCGATTAATTAACCATTTTCTTCAACAACTGCTCCAAACAACATCGTGAGAAAAATATGACTTCTTCCCCCCTTCCAGAACGCCAATATTATTTGCGAAAGATTCAATTTCAATACAATTCTCAGTTTCATAGCCGTCGTCGTTGTCGTCTGCCTTCTCTTTCTAGAATGCCTTCTTTGACTTTTGAAAATTCGTCTCTAATCATATCATATATGCATCTACCTGCCCAATCGTCGTCACCCCAAAAGATTAGTTTCAGATTCCATCGTTTTCATTCTCACTTTCATTTTCATTGTTTAATAATAACGCCTTTTGATTCTTCAGAACCCTTTCCTTTTGTTGTTATCTAATTGAGTTTTAGTTCGTTTGACGAACAAATCAAAGTAGTAGAAACAGGCCGTCTGTTTGTGTGTGTGTGATGTTCGGATCATGACCTCCGATCATTCATCATCTACCGCCGATATGAACTCAGATGGATCCAAGGGTGTCGATCTTCAACCCCATCGACAAGAAGAAGATGCAGATAGCTCGCATAATTCATCTTCCCGCAGAAGCATTCCGTCGAACACTTCGAGGGCAAACTCAGTGAAAGAAGTTGCGTTCGTTGATTTGGGATCAAAGGGCGTGCGATATGGATCTCGAAAAGGAAGCTCAGGTGCAGAAAGGTTTAGCATGTCCATGTCGCAAAGAGAGATTAGTGATGAAGATTCAAGGTTGGTTTATGTAAACGATCCAGCAAAAACTAATGAAAAGTTTGAATTTTCTGGGAATTCCATTAGAACAAGCAAGTATTCCATTCTAACTTTCTTGCCCAGAAACCTGTTTGAACAATTCCATAGAGTCGCCTATGTTTATTTCCTCATAATCGCTGTCCTCAACCAGCTTCCACAGCTTGCAGTTTTTGGGCGTTTTGCCTCCATCTTGCCATTAACAATGGTGTTATTAGTTACAGCAGTGAAAGATGCTTATGAAGACTGGAGACGACACAGATCTGACGCGATTGAAAACAATCGTTTATCAACTGTTTTAATGAACAGTTCATACGAACATAAGAAATGGAAAGACATTAAAGTAGGAGAAATCATCAAATTTTCTGCAAACGAAACAATTCCATGTGATATCGTTTTGCTTTCAACTAGCGATCCAACGGGAGTCGCTTACATCCAGACCATCAATCTAGACGGAGAATCTAACCTAAAAACACGTTACGCCAAACAAGAAACCCTTTCAATCATCCATGAGAACAAGGAGATCAACGGCGTTATCAAATGTGAAAAACCCAACAGAAACATATACGGTTTCTTAGCCAACATGGAGATCGATCAAAAACGCGTCTCACTCGGCCCTTCCAACATCGTTCTTCGTGGATGTGTCCTCAAGAACACGAACTGGGCAGTAGGAGTTGTGGTGTACACCGGAATGGAAACCAAAGTTATGCTCAACAATTCAGGCGCCCAATCGAAACGAAGCCATCTTGAAGCTCGCATGAACAGAGAAATCATATTTTTATCGATTTTTCTTGTTGTTTTATGCTCGGTTGTTTCAATTTGTGCTGGTGTTTGGTTGAGACGCCATAGAGACGAGCTTGATATCATGCCTTTTTATAGAAGAAAAGATTATTCAGAAGGAGATGCTGAAAACTACAAGTATTACGGATGGGGGATGGAGATATTCTTCACGTTTCTTATGTCGGTGATTGTGTTCCAGATTATGATACCAATTGCTTTGTATATATCCATGGAGCTAGTGCGTGTGGGCCAGGCTTACTTCATGATCCATGATGATAACATGTATGATGAAAGTACAGATTCGAGATTCCAATGTAGGGCCTTGAATATGAATGAGGATTTAGGTCAAGTGAAGTACGTTTTCTCTGATAAAACTGGTACATTGACTGAAAACAAGATGGAGTTTCAGTATGCAAGCATTTCTGGTGTCGATTACAATGGGGAGAAATCGGAGTTTTATGGAGAAGAAGAGGGTTACTATGCTAAAGGTGCTAAAAATCTTCTATATTTGCTTCTTGTTCTTCATTTTCAGTTTTACACATACAAAGATCAATCAACTAATCTTTATTGTTCTTTTACAGTGAATGGGCTTGTTTTGAGGCCCAAAATGAAGGTGAAAGTTGACATGGAGCTAGTTCGTTTATCACAAAATGAATCAAAAACCCAAAAACAAATTTACGATTTCTTTCTTGCATTAGCTGCTTGCAACACAATTGTCCCAATTGCGGTTGATACATCAAATCCTACTGAGAAATTGATCGATTATCAAGGGGAATCCCCAGATGAACAAGCCCTAGTTTATGCTGCAGCTGCTTATGGTTTCATGCTTATTGAACGAACTTCCGGTCATATAGTCATCGATATTCATGGTGATCAACAAAGGTAGATTTCATCATTCAAGATCGTTCAAAACAATTTGATGATCTTGTTCTAATTAATCTTATATAAGCTATTTGGTTTCTAATTGATGAATTTATACAGGTTTAATGTTCTTGGAATGCACGAATTTGATAGTGAAAGAAAAAGGATGTCAGTTATATTAGGGTTTCCCGATAACACGGTGAAAGTTTTTGTAAAAGGTGCAGATACAACGATGTTTAACGTCATAGATAAATCAATGGATTCAGATATAGTAAAAGCAACCGAATCCCATCTTCATTCATATTCTTCAGTCGGATTAAGAACCCTAGTTATGGGAATCCGTGAACTAAATTCTCATGAATTCAATCAATGGCGTTCATCTTACGAGTCTGCAACCAATGCTTTAATGGGTAGGGCACGTTTACTTAAAAAGGTGGCAATCAATTTAGAAACAAATCTCCACATCTTAGGAGCTTCTGGAATTGAAGATAAATTACAAGAAGGTGTACCTGAAGCAATCGAGAGTTTAAGAACAGCGGGAATAAAAGTTTGGGTTTTAACAGGCGATAAACAAGAAACCGCTATTTCAATTGGATACTCATCGAAGCTTTTAACAAATACAATGACGCAAATTGTAATAAACAATAATTCTACCGAATCGTGTAGAAAAAGCTTGAGAGATGCGTTGATTAGGTCTCAAAAAAGTGATAGTTCTGGAGATGATTCAAGATCGATTGCTTTGATTATTGATGGGACGAGTCTTGTGTATATCCTTGATACGGAACTTGAAGAACAGGTGAATGTTCATAATTCATAAACCCTAGAATTTCTTCTCTTTTGAGTTTCTGTAATCTGATTTTTTTTTTTTTATTTGTTTCAGCTGTTTGAATTGGCGAGTAAATGCTCTGTGGTTTTATGTTGTCGAGTGGCGCCATTGCAGAAAGCTGGGATTGTTATGCTGATTAAGAAAAGAACAGACGACCTCACCCTTGCAATTGGAGATGGTAAGTATAAAATTGGCATGCAAGGGTAAAATAGTCATTTCGGTTACAGGAATCATTGATTACCTTTTCTCTTTGTAGGTGCCAATGACGTTTCCATGATCCAAAAGGCGGATGTCGGAATCGGAATCAGCGGACAAGAAGGTCGGCAAGCTGTGATGTCATCGGATTTTGCCATGGCTCAATTCCGTTTTCTGGTTCCTCTTTTGTTAGTCCATGGACACTGGAATTACCAAAGAATGGGATACATGATCCTTTACAATTTCTACAGAAACGCAATTTTTGTCCTCGTTTTATTCTGGTAATTTCATCACTTTCATCTCCCTCCAATCAAAAAAACATTCTTTTTCTAATTTCTACAACTCTATTCAGGTATGTTTTATTTACTGCATTCACTCTATCAACCGCCATTAACGAATGGAGCAGCGTGTTGTATTCTGTAATCTATACGTCTGTACCTACAATTGTTGTTGGAATTCTCGACAAGGATCTCGGAAGAACGTCTTTACTAAAACACCCTCAGCTTTATGGAGCGGGACAAAGGCAAGAAAGCTACAATACGACATTGTTTTGGCTTACCATAGCAGACACGTTATGGCAGAGTATAGTCGCCTTCTTCATTCCGCTACTCGCATACTGGAAATCCACCATTGATGGTCCGAGTATAGGCGATCTTTGGACCCTCGCGGTTGTTCTTCTGGTTAATCTTCACTTAGCGATGGATGTCACCACATGGAATTGGATTATTCACGCATCGATTTGGGGTTCAATTGTTGCAACGATTATTTGTGTGATCATCATCGACGCTATCCCGATCTTGCCTGGATACTGGTATGCATAATCTCTTACTTTAATCTTCAATTTCACGAACCCTAACCCTAACCCTAACCCTAACCTCCGATACTTTTGCAGGGCGATCTTTTATCTTGCAGGCGATGGTTTGTTCTGGATTTGCTTGATTGGGATCGTGGTGGCTTCCTTGATTCCTCGATTTGTTCTGAAAACATTGTTGCAGCGTTATAAACCGACGGATGTTCAGATCGCCGGGGAGGCGGAGAAATTTGGGGATTTAGTTGAGTCAGGAAGTGGAGAAATTGAATTGCATCAACAGCAAAGATGATTTTTCTTTTTTTTTTTTAATTATATTCTTTAGGTTGCTAGAGAAATGTTCTCTTGCTGTGCCTGTGTTTGTGTAGTTTTTTTTTTGTCCTAAGGATAGAGCATGAAAGTTTTGTGTTCATAGTTTCATCATTATTTATGCAAGTTACTTGGTCTTGTATCTATTTGTAAATTTTCATTGTTTACAATATAAAATTTTGGTACATGATGCACATATGGTTTCGTAAATGATTGGAACATCCAGCGAATAGTTTGATGGAAAGTTTGTTTATATGATAAATGAAAAATTATGTACAAAATTTATGATCGTTTAATTAAGTAAACAAACATGAAAAACATGCCATGTTTGTTTATGTTTGTTTCTTTCTAACTAAGATGTTTTCCGAATTTATTATTGGATCGTTTATTCTAATGCCATTTCTGTTTTATCATAACCTTGCTAAACCTACACGAAAAAGTTATACAATCATGTCTAGTTCTCTTCTATCCAATTTATCCATATGTACCAAACACTATCTTAAAAAGCATGTGTCTTTCAACTATTGACCACATAATATATGATCAATTGTTGTAATCTTCAAGTTAATCCAAAGTGGACAAAAGTCGTACGAATATTTACTTTTTAGCGACATGCATTACAATCTATACATATCCATAATCATATATTGAAACCTTTAATCATGGTCTTAAGAGAAATCTAGCATGCATAACCACTTATCCAACAATACCAAATCATATAAACCCTCGATACATAATCTCTAAAATAACAAAATCCCATACATGAATTATTTCCAATAAGGTAATATACTTTGCCATAAAGCCATTTAGGCATCACACTTTCGCTTGTCATAACTTGTCTAAATATTTTTTGTGTCCAAACAAGGACATTCCAAAAGTATTATATCCAAAAATATTGGCTGTCACAAATATTTAGGAATATTTGGTTCAGTTGATAAGATATAATAATTTGAAAAAACGGTATGTCACAAAGTAACAGAAAATAAATCTATAAAGTATTCAATAATGATACATTATTTCTTAATTACATTGTAGTTTAAAGTTTTAATCAATCTAATTTTATAGTATTAACATATATATTGTTTTATCTTTATATATAAACATTAACATTTGTCAAAAATATCAAAAACTGTAGATAAGAGCACATCACGATACAATGCTCTTGCATTGTGCTCGAACATGTCTTTCTCGCACTGTGCTCCTTTTTTACATGTCTCATTTAGATTTGAAAGAAATTTCTCTCAAAAATATCTATCACAACCTCAAACCACTTTCCACCTCATGACCACCTCCACATATGCTTCACTGGTTTGGAACCAGCCTCTGTGAACAAACCAGAAAGAAGAATTTAGCAAGCGAGGTAAAGCAACACTTTGTCGCATCATCTGTTGGAAGGAGAATAGAAAGAAAAAAAAAAAAAAAGACAAAATGTAACGTTCCAAAAACTATATGTAAAAATTTTATTTTTAAATCTATCAAAACCATCATTCATTCGTTCCAAAACCCATCAAAATGTGATAATGTATAAAATAGTTATCATAGTACAAATTATATAATTAAATACGGAATACTGGTGGATATGATGCGATCATGCCGAGCCATCCCTTTTGAACCAGAAGTACCTAAAATCATAAACATAAACTGTAAACACAAAGCTTAATAAGTTTCCACAAAATACCCCATATTAGACATACATAACAACTTGAAACAAAAATGGGTCTATTTCACCCCTTGAGTCTATTTCAACTCCTTCGGTATCTTTCAACTGATATTTGGTCTATTTCACCCTTTAGTCTGTTTCAACTCCTTAGGTATCTTTCAACCTGTATTGGGTCTATTTAATCCTCTGAGTCTATTTCAACTCCTTTAGTATCTTTCAACCGATACACGTCTCTTTCACCCTTACAACTAAGCAGGTAGTCATATCAGCAAGAGTCACAAAGACAACAAGCACATTCAGGCATATCATCAAGTGTTATACAGACAACTATCATCCTACAAACATAATCTAGTGGGTTGGCATTTGTGCCTTCAGCCCACGAGTATATTGAAGTGACTCACCTCAATCTGCTGATAAACAAATCACACACTCAAACTGTTGATACGGGGCTCTTCACACTAAACATATCCAAGAATAACCTTAATTAGAAATAAAGTTCAACATCCATAATCAAGGGTCATAATCAACTTTTCTCTTTCTAGGGTAAAAGACAATTTTACCCTCCCAAGGCTAAACCTAACCAAACATGACCTAAATCCTAAAAATGATGTATTTTTACTTTTGGGAGTACGCCATGCATACACCTTAATTATGCACCGCGTATTGAGTTTCCACAGAAGAGAAAACAGGGAAAACCCCATTATGCACTGCGTACTCTAGGGTTATGCCCCATGTAACCGAGCTACTTGCCAAATACTTCATTAAGCTCTTAATTCATGAAGACTAAACGTACAACACTTAGATTTGACTCTTATGGACGCCTAAAGTCATGGAATAAGCACTCTAATTAATACAACTCTCAAGGCTAGACTATTCCCTCTTTTAGCACTCTCAGAAGGGTAAACGACCATTTTACCCTCTCATGGCTCGGGGACCCTAAAGTTGACTAAACCCTAAAAGTCAACAAAAGTCAACTCTCCAGGTTACGCTGCGCGCACCAAACCTGTATGCTGGGTGTACCTGGCGACCTCACAGAAATGGGGAACGTGACCCCCTACGCCGCTCGTACTGGGATTACGCCCCGCGTAACTCCCAATTTCAGACTCCTTAGTTCTTGGGGTCTTAAACAGTTAAGACACACGTCTAACTTTCAAATTTGACCATTTCTAAGCCTCTTAATCCATAAAGTTGGTGACTTTAAGCCTTTGCATGGCTGTAAAAGTCCCCAAAACCCATAACATTCCATTTCCAACCCTAGACAAGCTCATAGCTCAAGCATGACCTCATAATAACGACCAAGTTGGGATTTTTATGGATCTACAACACAAATATCACCGAAATGGGACAAATCTAGGTCCATGGAGTCCCTTACACTCATAAAGTCTCCACCTTTGGGACTTTTAACCCTAGAAATGGTCCATGCAACACCAAACCAAAATAAAGAGGAAAGTTTTGAGCTTGATACCTCTAGATGAAGCTCCTCCATCTAAAGAACTCAGATCCAAACTTGCACTTCAAGCCCTAGCCTCCACAAGCTCATCTCATTCTTCTTCTCTAACACAACAAGGCACTTTTAGCTCAAAACACTCACACATAAGCTTAATGACAAAGGAAATGCTCTCTTAGGGTTTCACTCTCTGATATGGTGGCTGAGGATAAGGCCTTAGCATTCCTTAAATAGTGCTCAAGCCAAATATTAGGGTTTGCACCTGGGCCCGCTATGCCCAGCGTACCTAGGGGAGTCTGCGTCCAAATTAAGCGCATGAGTACGCGCAACGTACTCCCTAGTACGCCCAACGTACTCATTTGCTACATTTTCACTCAAGGGCTAATCTTGACAACTTGATAAAAGAGAAGGGTCAAATAGCTTTACCTGAATTTCGGGATGTTACAATTCTCCCCTACTAGAACCAGACTTCACCCTCGAAGTCTCATGCTGAAAACAACTTCGGATGTTGCTCCCGCATCTCTGAATCTGGCTCCCAAGTCAGCTCAGACCCCCTTCGGTGTTGCCACTGGACATGAACCAGAGGCACCTCCTTGTTCCTCAGAACCATGGTCTTCCGGTCCAAGATCACGATCGGTCTCTCAACATAATTCAAACTCAAGTCCACCTGGATATCCTCCAACGACACCACTGCCGACTCGTCGGCAATACACTTCCTCAGCTGAGACACGTGGAAGGTGTCATGAATCTGGCTCAACTCCGCGGGTAGCTCCAAGCGATATGCTACCCTGCCCACCCTCGCGATCACCCTAAACAGCCCAATATACCGGGGCCCCAGCTTGCGCCTCTTCCTGAATCGAATCACTCCTTTCCAAGGAGACACTTTTAGGAGTACGAGGTATCCCACCTGGAACTCAAGCTCGGATCGCTGCCTATCCGCATAAATCTTCTGGTGACTCTGGGCCGTCAAAAACCTCTGTCTAACCTGTTGTATCTGCTCTGTCGTCTGAAGCACTATCTCAGTGTTGCCCATCATTCACTGCCCTACCTCTCCCTAACAGATGGGAGTCTGACACCTCCTCCCATACAACAACTCAAAGGGAGGCATACCAATGCTTGAATGGTGACTGTTGTTATAGGAAAACTCATCCAATGGCAAATATGTGTCCCAACTCCCTCTAAAGTCCAATACACATGCCCAAAGCATGTCCTCGAGCGTTTGAATCGTCCGTTCACTCTGTCCGTCCATCTGTGGGTGGTAAGCGGTACTGAAATGCAGTCTCGTACCCAACTCCTCAAGGAATTTATTCCAGAACCTGGAAGTGAAACACACATCTCGATCTGACACAATCGAGATCGGTACGCCATGCCGCGATACCACCTCCATCACATACACCTCCGCCAGCCTCTCTGCAGAAGAGCTCTCACTAATAGCAAGAAAATGAGCGCTCTTTGTCAGCCGGTCAACAATCACCCACATTGCATCAACTCCCCTCGCAGTCCTCGGCAATTTGGTGATAAAATCCATGGAAATTTGTTCCCACTTCCACTCGGGAACCTCAAGTGGCTGCAACTTGCCATGCGAACGCTGGTGCTCAACCTTCACCCTACGACAGGTCAAGCACCTCTTTACGAACCATGTGACATCCCTCTTTATACATGGCCACCAATACTCCCGCTTCAGGTCCAAATGCATCTTAGTGGCCCCGGGATGGATCGAGAACCTCGATCTATGCGCCTCCTCCATCAAAATGGTACGTGTCCCATCTTCATACGGCACCCAAATCCGACCCTGAAAGGTCATAAGCCCACGACTATCGGCAACGAACTCAGATATTTGTCCGATCACCCGCTCTCTTTTGCGGTTCTCCAGTCTCATGGCCTTTACCTGGGCCTCCCGAATGGTGTCCAACACCGGAGTCATCACTGTCAATCTCAAACAAACATCTTGTAATGGGGCACTCTCCGCCCTACGACTCAGGGCATCGGCTACCACATTAGCCTTACCAGGGTGGTAGAGGATCTTACACTTATAATCCTTTACCACATCCAGCCATCTCCTCTGGTGCATATTTAGGTTGGGCCGATCCATCAGATACTTCAAGCTCTTGTGGTTTGTGTATATGGTACACCGGACCCCATACAAAT